GCCCAGCTATGTTTTGGTTGCAGCTGTCGTTGTTGTTTGGCGGGCCCGGGCTGGATTCGAGCCTGCCACCTTAGATGTATGTGGCTGGCACCTTAGCCACTTGAGCCACAGGCGCTGAGCCTGATTAAAATTCTTATTCAGGCTCGGCACCAGTTGCACTGTGGTTACAGTGCCAGCCTCCTACACCTAAGCTGGAGGGTTCGAACTTGGCCCGGGCCAGCTAAAACAACAGTGACAACTACAACAACAACAAAAATATATCCTGGCATTATGACAGGTGCCTGTGGCCCCAGCTAGCTATTTGGGAGGCTGAGGCAAGAGAATTGCTTAAACCCAAGAGTTTGAGGTTGCTGTGAGCTGTGATGCCACAGTACCAAGGGCAAAATAGTGAGACTCTGTCTCAAAAAAAAAAATTCTTATTCAATATATTGAGCTTTTTTCCTTTCTGGCTATAAATCTTATTAGTTATATTTTATGTGAAGAAATGCTTAGCTTAAATTCATGCATTGCAACTGATCCTATGGGCCAGAATTCCGTGAAATTCAGAGCAACTATTTTGGGATGAGAAATTCTTTGAATAATCTACAAATCCATTAGAAGAAATCAAATACTCCAGATGACTGCCAGATGAGGTGTATATATACATATATGTGTATATGTATAAATATACATATGCCACCATCAAGTGCTCTGGTATAGACAGGCTCAGGTTCAAATCCTAGTGTTGGCTCTAAGAAGTTTTATTGTCTTAGCAAGTCACTTTAACTTCTCTAAGCTTTAGATTGTTCAGGTATAACAAAAGTAATACTATCTATTCCACATGATTGTTATGAGGATTAAATGAAAAAATATAGATAGGATGATTAATAAATATATCACTAAAAGCAATCAATAAATATTTTATTGTCATTTGCAGCATCATTATTCAGATGAAGAAACTGAGGCCCAAGAAGATTATGACTTGCTTGAGTGATATAGTAGACTAATTGCAGAGCTGGAACTAAATACAAATTTCCTATTGTCCAGCCAAGTTCTTTCCCCCTTTTTATTAATATCATATATGTGTGTATGTGTATATATATATATACTTCTGTATACACACACACACTGAAATAGTTTGGGGAAGCTATTGTTTTTAAAATTTTGGACTTAATTATATCCACATTTTTTGAACTAGAAATGAAGCCTTTTTTTTTTGAGACAGTAGTAAACCTTAGTAGAGTGCTATGGCTTCACAGCTCATAGCAACCTCCAACTCCTGGGCTTAGGCAATTCTCTCTCTTATTCCTCCCGAGTAGCTGGGACTACAGGCACCTGCCACAGCACCTGGCTAGAAATGAGGCATTTTCTATAGTTTAGTAATGTCTTAACCTGTCTTGCTCAGTAGAAAATGTAAAGTTTCATTTTAAAGTATATTGCTTTTACTATAAAGATAGTCATGATGCTATAGTTTAAACCTTTGTGTGGTTTGTTCAGCTTGAAGAAACGAACAGCATGCTAACCAAAGACATTGAATTATTAAGAAAAGAAAATGAAGAGCTAACTGAGAAAATGAAGAGGGCAGAGGAAGGTATGTGGGTATTCTGAATCATCATGTTAAAACAAATTTAGTGATTAATCTTTAGCTGTTTTTGTCTTGTGTGTTAGATTTTTTAAATATCTGTTTCCATGTATTAAAATGTAGCCTTAAGAGTAGTTTTAATGAGGTTACTGAAAGTTAACTATGTAGTATATACTAATTTAAATAATTAAGGACATTGATATTTGGAATGGAGAAATTGGAACCTGTGGCCTGAAGGCCACATGGTGACCTCCAGATCCTCAAGTGCAGCCCCTCGACCAAATCCAGGCATCACAGGGAAAAATCCCTTTGTTAAAAGTATTTGTTCTGTGAAATTTCCATTCAGTTAAAAAGTCCTACAAAAGATCCAGAAGGCCGCAAGTTCCCCACCCCTGAGCTGTACGATAACATTTTATGTAATTTGTCGACAGACTATAAGTTGAAGAAGGAGGAGGAGATCGGTAATCTTAAAGCTGCCTATGAAAAGAATATCAATACTGAACGAACTCTTAAAACCCAGGTATACATGCTTTCAGCCTTTTCCATGTTTTTGTATTTGAGTATCATATCTTTAAAATTAATAATTACTGTTTGTGCACATTTTCCTAAAACCAAGATTTATAGGTTCATGTTTGTCATTAGAACAAATATAAATTCTTCCCCTATTAACTATGGAAAATGAATTTGTAAAATAGGAATTCAATTAAGAAAGCTATGACTTGTCTAGTAAGGTTGTACAGTTATACAAGGTAAGGACATAGGGGCCAAGGCATGGAAACCTTATTTGCTAGTACTACAGCCTAACATCAGAAGTGGGACTAGCCTACTTCTGATATGTTACTGTTTCTGGGTTGCAAAGTTAAATAAAGGCTCCTGGTTCTTCCTTTAAATTGTAAGATAAATCAGTGTTAGTTACTTGTGCTACCAGTTATCATATTCCAGCTTTCATTAGGTTGTCCTGATTTTCAGACACACAAAAAGTCCTGCTTTCAGATTCTGAAGAAAAAAATACATTTTTTCTCTTAATGAGATTTAAATTGGATGGCTACCATATAGATCTTTACTAATAGTATTTTAATATTTGCATAGGCTGTTAACAAGCTGGCAGAAATAATGAACCGAAAAGATTTTAAAATTGATAGAAAGAAAGCTAATACACAAGATTTGAGAAAGAAAGAAAAGGAAAATCGAAAGCTACAACTGGAACTCAACCAAGAAAGAGAAAAATTCAACCAGATGGTAGTGAAACATCAGAAGGAACTGAATGAGATGCAAGCGGTAAGGCTTGTGTGTGTGCATGTATGATTGTTTTCTTAAATTGTTATTACTATGTTTACCTGTTATTTGTAACAGGTAAACATCTATCTTGTTTAGATTGGATTTTCTCATATTAAAAAACACACATTTTAGGCTCGGCGCCTAACGCACCAGCCACATACACCAGAGCTGGCAGGTTCGAATCCACTCCGGGCCTGCCAAACAACAATGACAGCTACAACCAAAAAATGGCCAGGCGTTGTGGTGGACACCTGTAGTCCCAGCTACTTGGGAGGCTGAGGCAAGGGAATCGCTTGAGCCCAGGCGTTGTAGGTTGCTGTGAGCTGTGATGCTGTAGCATTCTACCCAGGGTGACAGCTTGAGGCTCTGTCTCAAAAAAAAAAAAACAACAACACAGTTTATACTTTTCATAGTTGGATCGTTATTCTAATATAAACCATGTTTGTGTAAAATTAAAAAGGCATTCTGTTGCCTATTACATCTTGAGTAATTTTTACTCATTGTTAGCTGCTTGATTGCAGGCCCTACTGTGGCAGAGACAACCAAGGGTTTTGCCTGTTGGTTTCAGATTGGAATTGGGATATGGCTGCTACAATATTGACATAATTGGGATAGAAGTTGTGACAAATTCTAGATTAGTTATTTTTCTAGGCAAGACTCAGTTTCTGAAATCAAAATGTTAAGCATAATTTTTTGTTACTTCCCGGCTTAATAGCACAAAATAGAGAACCCAGGGTCTGGTATTAACCAGACTTAGATCCAATCTTTGAGTCCATCATTTATAGTTTTACCATCCTGAGAAGTTTTATACCTTTTAGCCTTTTTCCACACACTGTCCAGGTGATGGACACACTTACAACTTTGACTCAAACTATATATAACCAATTCGTTTAACCCAAACTCTTCTATCCCCATAAGATTCTGAAATTAAAAATGTAAAAATAAAAATATACTATTTCATTTGAAGAAAGAAAAGCATTTTCTGTTATTTTGACTTTTGGGGAGGTCCCTTAAGTCCCCAAAAACTTTTAAAGCAAGGAGAAAAGGACTTTTAAGTAATGATTACTGAGAAAGTACTTACATTTCTATAGTGGATCAAAATCTGTTGTGGTAAACATTCACCAAGTTTGCAGGAAATTTTAGGTATTAGCAATTTTAATTACTTGTTTATAGTTCGGTTAATGCTTCATGTTGGAAAATATTTGAGCCTGAATACTTATATTATCTTGATATTTTTCAAAAATAGCAATTGGTAGAAGAATGTACGCATAGGAATGAGCTTCAGATGCAGTTGGCTAGCAAAGAGAGTGATATCGAGCAATTGCGTGCTAAACTTTTGGACCTTTCGGATTCTACAAGTGTTGCTAGTTTTCCTAGTGCTGATGAAACTGATGGAAACCTTCCAGGTAAGAATAATTCTATTACGTCATTCAAGTTTGCTCAGAGAGACATAGAAATTAGTATGTATTTCTTTCCTTGGATTTTCTGTCATTTTGCCTATATAATTTTAAACAGTAATTCTGGTTTCTGATAGCCAAGGCCTAATGATGATTATATACTTAGTGTGTTTGATAGAATAAAAGCAGTTATAAACGATCTTAGGCTATTAAAGTAGACCTGAGAAATTGTACCTGAATAGAAACCTAAAGAGGTTTATGAATTCATTTTGAGCAGCCTAACTCCATGGTGAAAGTCGAAGCTGCTGTTACACCTCTCACTATTTAGAGAAAATTGTGTTTTTGTGAGCAGCAGCTGGTTAAAGTTTTATGAATTCTTGTGCCGAAACTAAGAACATACTTCATTATCACAACTGCAGCAGCTGTATATTGAAATCTGTCTAATGGAGTAGTGATAAATTTAATCAGACTTTGTTAAGTTTGGAGAAATAGGTAAAATGAGTTGGGTAAGGCAAGGTAAAAGGAGGCAGGTGGGTTGGAACCCAGCCCCGGCCTGCTAAACAACAATGACAGTTGCAACAACAACAACAACAACAAAAAATAGCCAGGTTTTGTGGCGGGCAGCTGTAGTCCCAGCTTACTCTGGAGGGTGAGGCAGAGGCTGTGAGAGGACTGGGGCCCAGGGGGTAAATAAAGGCAGAAATGAGTGGCTGGGATTTCATACTTTTTTGTGTCTTCTTTCAGCACAGAATCAGCTAAAAAATAAAGACAGCCTTATCCTTAGCTTAATCATAGTGTAAGATACTATAGTACATTTGTGTCACTTTAACAGAGATGAGAAATACATGTATTATAACTCTAATTGAGAAAAGAAGTGAATAGGTCATAATTATTAAAACATACATGCTCGGTGGCGTACATTGCTCAGTGGGTAGGGCACTGGCCACATACACTGAAGCAGACATGTTTGAACCCAGCCCCAGCCTGCTAAACAACAATGACAACTGCAACAACAATAAAAAAAATAGCCAGGTGTTGTGGCAGGCGCCTATAGTCCCAGCTACTTGGAAGGCTGAAGCAAGAGAATCATTTAAACCCAAGAGTTTGAGATTGCTATGAGCTGTGACACCACAGCACTCTACCGAGGGTGACATAGTAAGACTCTGTCTCAAAAAAAAACTTATACGTTATACATTCTTAGTTCAAGGTTTAATAGATATTACTTGTTTTTGAGAATTTTGATACACGAAACTTGATAAATCACTTCAAAAAAATGTATGATCTAGTTCTTGCTCAAGAAAATGGTCCCAGCACTTGGGAGGCCAAGGCTCACAGGTTCGAGACCAGCCTGAGCCAGAGTGAGACCTCATCTCTAAAAAAAATAGCTGGGTATTGTGGTAGGCACCTGTAGTCCCAAATACTTGGGAGGCTGAGGCAAGAGAATTGCTTGAGCCCAAGAGTTTGAAGTTGCTGCGAGCTATGACAACGTGGCATTCTACCAAAGGTGACAAAGTGAGACCCTGTCTCAAAAAAGAAAGAAGGAAAGAAAGAAAGTAGGACTCCACTATCACATAGAGGATGAGGACTTAAAAAAAAAAAAGTGGGTCTCAAAGTAAGAAATGAATTTAACTGCTGTGTGTATACCATATGATCCCTGCCCTCATTCTTTGATGGCTTTACTAGTCCAAAATCAGGTATCTGGGAAATATAGGACAGGGAAGGAATATTTTGTATTCTAATGGCCAAGGAATTCTTTCTATTTTCCTATTTTTGGCTCTCTGAAACGGCCTGCCTCTTGACAAACTTGTAATTACACACATGATTCATTACTGGAAGATCACTTTGGATTTAACAAGAACTTCTAGCTTCAGCTGTTATTTAAACATCTTTCTAAAGTTAGACTTACTCATCAATAAGAATATGACTTTTAGAGGTGTTTGGCTATATTCCTTCAATTGTTGAACTAAAACTGTAGTTTAATTCCCACTTCATTCCTACTGCATCGCCCAATTCCTTTTGCCTATTTCTCCAAACTTTTTTTTTTTCGCAGTTTTTGGCCGGGGCTGGGTTTGAACCCACCACCTCTGGGATATGGGCCAGATACCCTACCCTTTTGAGCCACAGGCGCCACCCTATTTCTCCAAACTTAACAAACTCTGACTAAATTTATCGCTACTGCAATAATAAATAACAATAAATCATTCGGCAAAGAGATGCTAGCTACTGCAATAGATAGACTTCTGTATACAGCTATTGTGGTTGTGATGGTGAAGTATATTCGTAGTTTTAACACAGGAACACAAAACTTTAAACAGCTGCTACTCACAAAACCACACTTTTCTCTAAATAGTGAGTTGAAGCAGCTTCAACTTTCACCATGGGGTTAGGCTGCTCAGAATAAATTCAAGATACTCCTGGGGTTATCTACTAAAGGGATTTTAACTGTATTTAGTATCAATTGAAAATCTTGACCAGGCTTTTTTCCCCTTTATTCTGCCCATTACCCTTTAACTTTGTATAATGTTTTCTTTGCATTGGGTTAAACATCTCAGAGACTGGTATGTTACTGGTGTATATAGACCACTTGAATTAAAAAATGAGTTGGTGGGACCACTAACAAGGAAGAAGGTGATGATTTTATTACCTGGCTTATTCAGGAAGGCTAAACTTAGATGATAGTCAGATGGGTTGATTGGCAGACTTAGAGTAGGAATCCATTTACATTTCAGAATTCTGTCCCAAGAAATTGACATAGGAATCATTCAGCAAAGAGATTTAAAAATATTTCTACTGGCTGCATTCTATGTATGTTACTTAGAATATCAGTGTGCTTTTAGGGATTTTGTTTTTAAGGTTTTAAAGTCTAAACCAAGTAAAAAAGGAAAAAAAAAAAAAAGACGGCCATTCTCCATTACTATAAAATAAGACCAGTAAGATACCTCTTTTCCTATTCCTGTGTTCTCAGTCTGGAAACTTTAAAGAATCTTAACAGTGCTGAATCTTGACTTTCATGTTGGAAATCAGAATTAATGGATAATCTTTATCAGTGTTATTTATCTCTCTTTGTGTCAGATATTTTGCTAGTAAATTGAAAGTCTCAAAAATGGCCCCTAACAAAGTTAAGGCTTTGCATCCATATCTAGGAGGAATTTTTGAAGAATTTTGATACTCATTAAAGACTAAAAAAGGGAGGACTTTGAATAGATTAAGTTTACTCTTGGTTAAAATAATGGCTTTTTGAAATATGGTCATATTTTTAGTTTAATGGGTTTTTTTTAAGTAGTCGGATGAACTGATACTGTGACTTCTAATATTTCTATTAGACATCATCAGTTAGTATAAAGATTCTGATTTAAGGTGGTGCCCATGGCTCAGAGGAGTAGGGCACCAGCCCCATATGCTAGAAGTGGTGGGTTCAAACCCAGCCTCGGCCAAAAAAAAAAGATTCTGATTTAATTATCTCTCACATCTAGAGATCTGCCTGGAATCTTTTCAGTGGGTATCTTGTGATGACTCAATTAAGTCTCTGCTTTAAATTTTGCAAATTTAAATATCTTATTTTGAAGCCAGGCACAGTGGCTCATGTCTATAATTCTAGCACTCTGGGAGACCAAGGCAGGTGGATTGCTTGAGTACAGGAGTTGGAGAGCAGCCTGAGCAAGAGTAAGACCCAGTCTCTACTAAAAACAGAAAAGCTACCCAAGGGTTGTGGCAGGCACCTGTAGTCCCAGCTACTCAGAAGACTAAAGCAAGAGGATCACTTGAGCCCAGGAGTTTCAGATTGCTGTGAGCTAGGACACTATGGCACTCTACTCAGGGAGACAGAGTGAGACTCTTATCTCACACACACAAAAAAAATGAAACAAAACAAACAAAAAAAACTGTATAAAAATCTTATTTTTAAAAGGTTACTTCTCTGAATGATCAGTCATGGAGTCCTTAAAGTAACTTTCATTTTCTTAATTCTTTTATGTCTATCTTCCCTTTGGTTCTGTGGCAGGCTATAGCCTAACATACTGTATAAATATAAAGATTACAGGGCAGCACCTGTGGCTGGCTTAGTGGGTAGGGTGCCTGTCCCATATACCAAGGGTGGTGGGTTTGAACCCAGCCCCGGCCAAACTGCAACAAAAAAATAGCTAGACATTGTGGTGGGCGCCTATAGTCCCAGCAACTCGGGAGGCTGAGGCAAGAGAGTCACTTAAGCCCAGGAGTTCAAGGTTGCTGTGAACTGTGATGCCATGGCACTCTACCAAGGGCATTAAAGTGAGACTCTGTCTCTAAAAAAATGAATAAATAAATAAATAAAGATAACACTTAGGGTTATGGGTTACCTGTTGCCTAGGTGATAAAAATCTTTCATGTGATAACTGTGGCTTTTCCTCATTCTTTCCTTTTCCTTCTTTTGGAACTGCTGACCTAGATATCAAAGGAGAATGTAGAAGTAGATGAAACATAAGGGAAAATACCTGGTATTACCACTTCGTTAATAGTTATCATCTCAGGCTGGGTGCCTGTGGCTCAAGTGGCTAAGGCACCAGCCACGTACACCTGAGCTGACAGGTTCAAATCCAGCCCAGGACCACCAAAGAACAATGATGGCTGCAACCAAAAAAACAAAAAACAAAAGCCAGGCTTTGTGACAGGTGCCTGTAGTCCCAGCCTCTTGGGAGGCTGAGGCAAGAGAATCACTTAAGCCCGGGAGTTTGAGGTTGCTGTGAGCTGTAATGCCACGGCACTCTACCCAGGGCTTGAGGCTCTGTCTCAAAAAAAAATTATCATCTCATCTGTATCCTTCTTTTTTCCATCCAGCTTGATTAAGGCTATATAACTTAAACCTGAAAATAGTAGATTTCTTGTTATGTTTCTAATTCTAAATATTGGAGTATGTGAGAGTTTGTGACATCACCCAGATCTAACCAATGATTTGAAAATGTTTAAAATGATTTTCTACCTCTGTTTCTTAAGCAGTATATGGTTTATCCAAGTAAACTAGTGATCTTCAGAAGTTAGCTTTGATGTTTAAACTAGCTATACTGAATACAGATTTACTATAATTAGGCTCTTCTTATTTGAGTAAAGGAACCCATTGCTAATATTGCAATAATATCCAATTTTTTATAAATTCAGATTGCTTTACAACTATATAAAATTTGGAACCAAGTTGTTTTTGTACTTCTGTAGCATACTATTACTAATAATCTAAATTTAGAAGTTCTTAGCATGAGTTTCATTTACTTATCTGGAGGAGGTGATTTCTTGGTTTGCTATGTGAAAGATTGGAATTTACAGCACTATACCTTCAGCCCTTTAAGTCACAAATGGTCCTGGTTTTAGAGGTCTTTTGTGTTTAAACAACTGATGAATATATTAACTTGTCTCTAAAGTAAGAGTAAGGAAACAGAGAAGAAGCTAGTAAATATTTTTTGTTGTCACTAAGCTTAGTTCAGATGTTTCTTTGGGGGAGTTTAACAGAAGGAAAAACTAAGATTCTTTCCCATAACACTATTGTTTCGGAGGAGATTTTTTGTTTTTATTTTTGAGACAGAGTCTCGCTCTGTTGCCCCTGGTAGAGTGCTATGGTGTTGTAGCTCACAGCAACCTCAGACTCTTGGGCTCAAGCAGTTCTCTTTCCTCAGCCTCCTGAGTAGCTGGGACTATAGGCACCCGTCACAACGTTCAGCTATTTTTAGAGATGGGGTCTGGCTGTAGCTCAGGCTGGCCTGGCTTGTGAACTTGGGTAGTCCACCTAGCTCAGGCGATCCACCCACCTTGGCCTCTCAGAGTTCTGGGATTACAGGAACATTATTGTTTTAAATTGGCAAAAATCTAAACATGTCCTCAACACCTTTATTTGAGTTCCAGATTTCTTCATTTAAATTAAATATAAGCAAATATAAAAGTTGGGTGTATTTGATTCATAAAATGCTCTTAATATATAAAATTTGTAAAGAAACATTGAAATGACAGCCTAAAGTCATGGCATAATGTGTGTAACAACTTACCAAAAATATATTTAAAAAAAAATATACTGGCAGTTTAACCCAAATGTAGAGCCAGAAAGGATAAATGTTTTTGTCATACACCATTTTGTATAAATGTCAGATTTTAAAAGCTTTCATATCTTTATTTTCCATGAGAAATAATTGATATTAAGCAGCCTTGTATCTTCAGATATTGACTATTTTTTATTCTAACTATTGTTCATCTTAATGTTTTCTAAAGCATACTTTAACACAGAGGGCTACATTTTCTGCCACATTAATGGGGAATTTTTTTTTTTTTTGAGACAGATTCTCATTTTGTCATCCTTGGTTGAGTCCTGTAGCATCATAGCTCACAGCAACTCATGCTCTTGAGCTCAAATGATTCTCTTGCCTCAGCCTCCCTAATAGCTGGGACTACAAGTACCTGTCACAATGCTGGGCTATTTTTAGAAACAGAGTTGTGCTCTTGCTCAGGCGGATCTCCAACTCCTGAGCTCAAGCAATCCACTTGCCTTAGCCTTCCAGAGTGCTAGGATTACAGGTGTGAGCCACCTCGCCCAGCCTTGTAATGAGGAAATTTTCTAGCAATAACTTTTTTGCTTCTGTAAGATAAAATATTTGGGTGATCAGTACATGAAAAGCAGCCTTCTGCATGTTATTTAATATAAATCTGTTCATCTGGTTTTAAAATTGTAATCATTATTTACAGTCGTTATTTGATGACTTTAATTGGCTAATTCAGAAAAGGCCAGAATTGCCAAATAATCCATGTATCTACCAAGTACCTCATCCCTGTGTTACTTACTGTTGGATATATAAAGCCAGTGTTAGAATAGGATCCCTATTCTATCAAAACTTACCAAAGAACTACAAACTACCTAAGGAAACAAAATAAATAACTAATGAACTAAACAGCAGCAATTAAGAAAAAAGTTGAAGCTCGGCACCCGTTGCTCAGTGGTTATGGTGCCAGCCACATACACCGAAGGTGGCGGGTTCAAACCCGACCTGGGCCAGCTAAACAACTGTAACAACAACAACAACAACAATAGCTGGGCATTGTGGGGGTACCTGTATTCCCAGCTACTTGGGAGACTGAGGCAGGAGAATCACTTAGGCCCAAGAGTTTGAGGTTGCTGTGAGCTGTGATGCCACGGTATTCTACTGAGGGCGACATAGTGAGACTCTGTCTCAAAAAAAAAAAAGTTAGACAGTGCCTGTGGCTCATGGAGTAGGGTACCAGCCCCATATACTGAGGGTGGCAAGTTCGAGCCCAGCCCCGGCCAAACTGCAACAAAAATAGCCCGGTGGGTGTTGTGGCGGGTGCCCGTAGTTCCAGCTGCTTGGGAGGCTGAGGCAAGAGAATCGCCTAAGCCCAAGAGCTGGAAGTTGCTATGAGCTGTGATGACATGGCATTCTATGAGGGTGACAAAATGAGATTCTGTCTGTCTCCAAAAAAAAAAAAAAGAAGAAGAAGAAAAAAAAAGTTGAGAGAACAAAAGGGTCGTTTTGGACTGAAATTATCTCACTGTTTCCTCCTCTTTTAACAACTACAGTGAATTAACATAAGCAAAGGTATGGAGACATTAGGTACATGGTAGAAATAGAGTGAATATCACCCCAGTTCATTTAACTGCAAAGTTTGTTCAGGCATAAAATAGTGTTACACTATAGAAACAAGCTTAGAAATTACAGGGTGTCCTAAAGGTTGTGCATAGAGTCACCATACATAGGAAAAATGGGAAATTGTAGATAAAGGTACCTTACTTATGTGTAATTTCCCATTTTTCCTATGTATGGCAATTCTATGTGCAGCCTTTGGGACACCCTGCAGAATGCCCAAGTTTCAACCCTAGAGCTTTGACAGATACTGATAGAGTAGCCTTGGATGAGTTAGTGGACTTTGCCAATCCTTGGTCTCTTCCTAGTAGAACATATCCTACATTCCTAGGGATATAAATATCCTGTATTGGTGAGATTATACATAGGTTAAATATGAGATGTTATGTGTAAAGCATTTGGTAAATAATAAATGTTCAGTAAATACTACCTATTGTTACTATTACTGTATGGCTAAGCTTTATAGCTTTGAAAATGTGTACGGAGGAACACCATGTATTCCCATTAAATTATGGTTTGAACCATAGTATAATCTGTCACATTATATCATCATCCTTTCAAATTAGTTACTTTTCTAGTCTTTGGTTTCAAGCATAGTAAGATTGATACAGAAAACATTTAAATTGAATGAATTTTCTTGTCTCCAATCTAATGAATAATAACTATTTCTAGTGTAGTCATCTTTATCCCCAGATATTTCTGATAAATATTAGTTACATTTAAATAATTATTATTATAAAATGTCTTGATGAAAATAATCAAAGACTATCTGGGATGCACAAACTAGTTGAAATATTACCAGTTGACCCGCTGAATTGTGTGTTGTTTTATTGTTTTTAAATTATGGTATCACAAACTTAAAAGTCTTTATTCCCCATCAGTTTGAGAAGGATTGTAATTGGACTTACCACTACCATTAAGTGCCCCCCCCAACCAAATTTGGATAATTTCATAAAATTGTTGTGGATATTTGACCAAAAAGTTTATCAGAATGTTATCCTGAGAAAACAAATAAAATGCTTGTCTCTTATTCTTTATATCTAGTTGATTCTGCCTGCATTCCTTATTTATTTATCTTCTATTCTTATCTTCTGTGAGTAATAGGACACTTCAGTACTTTTGCTTGCTCTTTCTTGTGTAAATCATGGCTCTGATTTGTTCTACTTGCTGCATAATTTTTTCTTTTCTTTTTCTTTCTTTTCGCTAAGTATTTTTATATGAATATGAAATGATATTTATAGTCCTTTTTGTCATATCCCATTTAAGCTGCAATCCATTCCAGTCTTGCCTGGCTCTTAAGGGTATTGTTACTTCATACGTTTGTAATTGAGTACTAAATGTTAATTTTTTATGGGTAAAGTGGCTTGGAATTTTTTTCTGCAATATTTGTATGGCCATTAAAGTTTATTTGTGTGATTAAAGCATGGAAGAGCAAATTTTAGCACTTATTCATTTGTGTTCAATTGCCTGTTGCTGCATGCTGTCAGACAACTTGTAATAGTTTTTCTTCTTGTTACATTTTAAGACTATTACATTTTCTTTCCTCCAGAATCAAGAATTGAAGGTTGGCTTTCTGTACCAAATAGAGGAAATATCAAACGATATGGCTGGAAAAAACAGGTACCATATTAAACATTTAGGTTAATACAGTATAATCTCAACATAAATGGCAAATATTATGCTTATCACTTTAAACCAAGTTAATGGTGCTCCTGTATCTCTTCCCTCTTTTTTCTCATTTCAGTATGTTGTAGTTAGCAGCAAAAAAATTTTGTTCTACAATGATGAACAAGACAAGGAACAATCCAATCCATCTATGGTATTGGACATAGAGTAAGTAGCCTTTGATTTAATTTTGAGGTAGTTGAGTGTGAACTTTTGATAATTATTTTTAGATTTACAGTTTATATTTTGTGTTATTTAAATAACATTATCTACTTTTCGGGTTTCCTTTGTTTCTTTTTTTTGAACAGGATCTCACTCTGTCATCTAGGTTAGAGTGCAGTGACAGCATCGTAGCTGTCTATAACCTCCAACTCCTAGACTCAAGGCAGGAGTTTTTCTTGAACTTAAGGCCAAGGTGGAAGGATCACTTAAGACTAGCAGTTCAAGACCAGCCTGGTAACACAATGAGACCACTGTCTCTACCCAAAAAATTTTAAAAAGTTAGCCAAGAGCAGTGGTATAAACTTGTAGTCCTAGCAACTTCTGGAAGCTCAGGCAAGAGGATGCCTTCAGCCCAGGAATTTGGGGTTACAGTAAGCTATGATCATACCACTGAACTCCTGCCTAGGTAACAAAGAGAGACCCTATCCCTATTAAGGAAGAAAGAATGTGGTTAAGCTGGGTGGGCCTGTGGCTCAGTAGGTAGGGCACCAACCCCATACACCGAGGGTGGCAGGCTCAAACCTGGCCCTGGCCACACTGCAACAAAAAAATAGCCAGGCGTTGTGGCAGACGTCTGTAATCCCAGCTACTTGGGAGGCTGAGGCAAGAATCGCCTAAGCCCAGGAGTTGGAGGTTGCTATGAGCTATGTGACACCATGGCACTCTACCGGGGGTGATGAAGTGAGACTGTCTCTACAAAAAAAAAAAGAAAAGAAAAGAAAATGTAGTTAAGCCTAAGATTGTTGCTTCTGTGCTGAATGTGTATGAACTTTTTTCTTATCATTATTCCCCAGAGCATACTGCATAACATCTATTTACATAGTACTTAAATTGTATTAAATATTATAAGTAATCTAGGTTTAAATTATATGGGAGGATGTGTACAGGTCATATGCAGATACTATGCCATTTTATATGGGACTTGACATCATTGATTTTGGTATCCTTAGGGGACTTGAAACCAGTCCCCCGCAGACACCCTAGGATGACTAATGTCATCACCAAATGATGATAATTTTACTTCTTTCTTTCTAATAAAAAAGAATTTTTCACATACAGAGATTCACATGACCACCATGACAGTCAAAATACAGACCATTCTCTCACAAGGCTCCCTGTACTACCCTTTTACAGCCACAGGCAGCTCCTTCCTCCAGTCCTCCCTGTTCCATGGCAACATTATATGTGTTCTCTGTCTCTATACTTTTGTCACTTCAAGGATGTTATATAAATGGAATCAAATAATGTGTAACCTTTGCAATTAGCTTTCTTTCACTCAGCATAACTCCCTTGAAATCAATCCAAGTTGTAATTTTTTTGTTTTCACTTTTGGGGAGTATTCTGTGTTGTGGACGTATCATACTTTTCTAGGGTGGCTCTGCAATTTTATATTTCTGTCAGCAGTGTTACGTGTGATTTAGTTTCTCTAAATCTTCACCACATTTGATGTTATTATTTTAAAAATCTGATAGATGTAAAGTAACACTTTTTGTAGTTTTAATTTGTATTTCCCTAATGATCAATGTTGTTGAACATCTTTTTTTGTATTTATTTGTCATCTATGTCCTCTTCAGACAATGTCTGTCCTTTGGTATATATGAGTTTTCTTAATGGCCTATGTCTATTTTCATTTTAGTAAATTGTTTCATGTTCGACCTGTAACCCAAGGAGATGTGTATAGAGCTGAAACTGAAGAAATTCCTAAAATATTCCAGGTAAAAATCTGAAATCATAATTTCAAGTGATCTTTTACCTAAGTACTAAGTGCTTTTCTGAAGTAAATGTAAAATATAACAATGCTTTTATATATTTGAAAATTTTATGTACGCATTTAAGATTTTGTGATCTTATTCCTTTCACCGTTCCTGAATGCAGATACTATATGCAAATGAAGGTGAATGTAGAAAAGATGTAGAGATGGAACCAGTACAACAAGCAGAGAAAACCAATTTCCAAAATCACAAAGGCCATGAGTTCATTCCTACCCTCTACCACTTTCCTGCCAATTGTGAGGCCTGTGCCAAACCTCTCTGGCATGTTTTTAAGCCACCCCCAGCCCTAGAGTGTCGAAGATGCCATGTTAAGTGCCACAGAGATCACTTAGATAAAAAAGAAGATTTAATTTCTCCATGTAAAGGTAAGTAAAGATGATTATTTTTATAAGTTATAACAAACTTAGTTTCAAGTCCCAGTGTGAAATAAATAATTTCAAGTGCAATCATCTACAACAAGTTGAAAGAAAGAATATTTTTGGCGCCTGTGGCTCAATCGGCTAAGGCACCAGCCACATACACCTAAGGTGGCAGCTTCAAATCCAGCCCGGCCTGCCAAACACCAATGATGGCTGCAACCAAAAAATAGCCGGGCGTTGTGGCAGGCGCCTGTAGTCCCAGCTACTTGGGAGGCTGAGGCAAGAGAATCGCTTGAGCCCAGG